AGCTTTACGTGATGATTCAACCTTAGAAGGCTAGATCCAGAGTATGAGACCTTATTTCTGCCTGAAATCGTCTGAATGAGAAAATGGACTGAAGGGACTCGACGAGTTGGTGAGCTGACTCGACGAGTCGATTAGGGTTTTCCCCGATGAGTCTGGACGCGTTGTAACTCAGCGAGCTGACGAGACAACTTGACGAGTTAAGTCGGATTTTCACGGCATATCTGAGGAAACGAGGGAACTCGACGATTCGCATAGATGCACTCGACGAGTTGGGTCAACATGGACTGTTGACTCGAGTGTTGACTTTTATTGACTTTAGGGCTTGGTCAGGACATGAATTATGGAGACCATGGAAGGATAAAATGGTCTTTTACCCATTCCAAGAGTTCGAGAGACGGGTTAGCTTAATTTATTTAGAGTTGTGTTTATAAGTGTTAATTAGAGATGATTATGACATGTATGCGGGGATTAGAACGTTCGAGGGGTACGAGGCTTACTTGCTTACTTACGAGGTGAGTCTTCTCACTATACTTACCTGAGTGGTAATACTGAGTGACCAGAGGGTCTTGTTTGAATTATCGACTGAAGGGTCCTATGTTCTTATATTGAGTTATGTGATATTATGCATTTTGTTTTTGTGATATATGCTATATTATTCTATGCTTTACTGAGTTAGGACCGGAAGGTCCAAACCGAATTGTGAGACTGGAGGGTCTTCACTGAGATATAGGACTAGAGGGTCTAACCCGAGCTGTGAGACCGGAGGGTCCTCACTGAGACACATGACCGGAGGGTCCACACCGAGTCGTGAGACCCGAGGGTCCTCACCGAGACGCATGAGACCGGAGGGTCCATGTCTAGTTATAGCCATGAGAGGCTTATTATTTGTGTATGTGGTATTTTGGGGAACTCACTAAGCTTCGTGCTTACCGTGTTGTGTGTTATGTGTTTCAGGTACTTATCAGGATCGCGGGAAGGCGCCGACTTGATTGTACACACATGTTTGAGACTATGTCGATGATTCTGGGATATTATCAGTTGTTTTGTTAAATCGTGTTTTTGACACTTGATACATTGTGATTTGATAAAATGTGATACTATTTTTATGTGATTTAAAAATGAAAATTTTGTTTGAAAATTTAGAGTGTTACACCCCGAGAAGAAGAGCTTTTGGCTCAGAAGTTCTGCCCGCGCAGATCCCGTCTCCTCGCTAAACCCCCTTGTAAGTGAGTTGTGCTTACCATACTTTAAGTATAACTTATGTTTAAGTTCATTATCGTTATTATGAACCTATAAACAATATTTATCAGTGATTCCACGTCGTTATACTGATTTATCTACTTATGGGGATGATGTCTAGGATGTGATTTAGTGAGGTGTTTAAAGTGGGATTTCCAAACAGTATATTTCGTATACCAAACAGACCCTACCTCCAATATGATCCTACCTGGTTGTTCCTTACTTGATAGATCATGAAAGTAGGCTTTGAGTTAATGATGCATCTAGACTAATAATTAGTCGCAATAAATAAGAGACTAAAACTAAGTAATAATGATACCAGGTTTCATTAAAAGAAAAGACAATTTTAGAAACGAAGCGCTGCCCAAATTTCAAATCGCCACTTTAACAAGCGAGTGCATAGTCCTTTTCATGAACATGATTTTAATACAAATATTAATTAAAGTATTAAATATATGTTTATGTGTGAAATATTTGATATTGCCTGAAATACGTGTTAAGAGCATATCTGATAATATATGATGATTTAGGATACAAAATAAACCTAAATTAATTAAGATGACTATCGAGTAGTATATTCTTATGAGTACGGGTGGGATATACACCGATGGTAGAACTTTAAATTTTTCATTAATCCGAGAGCATGGATTAGACATAGGCATTCGTCCCTAGTCCGAGAGTATGGAGTGGATATAGTCATTTGTCATTGATCTGAGAGCATGAATTAAACATACCTGATCCGGAGTATGGATTATGTAAAGCTGTTAATTTTATATCCGAGAGTATGGATCGAGTCGTTGTGAGGATCGACGAGGTAGGGTAAAAATTGCTTATATGAGGTGGTGAAATTGTATATTGCGAGTTCTAATATATATATATATATATATATATATATATATATATATATATATATATATATATAACATTGTGGGATTGAAATCCCTATGTACTCACCAGGTTTCCCAACCCGACCCGCTTAGTTTATTGTATCACAGGTGGCTATATGAAAGATACAATCTGCTGAGAGATTCAAGGAGTATTAGGCCACTAGTTTAATTACTATAAGGTTTGTAATATTTCGTTATGCTTATGTTTCTGTATTGACGATGACATACTAATGTTTTAAATAAAAATACATTTATTCGGAAATGCTTTGATAACATCTTTATCATGTTTTCTGGGAACAAATTCCGCAATACTATTTTTCAAAAAGGATACTCTGATTTTTAAATAAGCATAAACAAATCGGTATTTTCTGGTCGTGAAAACGAGGATGTCATAGGAGGCTAGGGTTAGCTCATCCTCAGCCTCCATCAGCCTCCTCAAGCCTTAAAGAAACCCTAATCTTTCCCCTCCATTGTTGAAGTTATTTTTGGTGCTTTTGGAAGCTTTTGAAGGAATAAAGAGGAATTATTGAGCTAGGATCCAACAAACAAGTTTCCATTATTTACCTTGGAACTCTTCTGGACCTTTGTAAGTGTCCTTAACTCGACTTTTATCATGTTAGGATGCTAGATATCGAGTTTTGTCCCATAATCTTCTTGTTCTAGTTAGTTAGAATGGTGGGATCTTACAAATTTTGCAACTTTATGAATCTCTAAGACATTTGGTGTAGTTTGTGGCTTGGATCTGAAGTCTGGTTGTATTTTTGAAGTCATGCATGAGATTTAGGTCATAAACTCTCATTTTGACGTAATATGGGTTCAAGACATGCACTGGACATACATGTCTATAAAGCACCAAATTTCATGTTGGTTTTAGTGTTAGAAACACTTCTGGAAAAGATAGACTTCAGACTTAAAGGAATAAGTGCTTAATAGTTAAGTTCATGCCTTGTGGAACCTAGGGTTTGAGTTTTGGACCTTCTTGGATGGTTCTAATAGGTAAAGTTAGAAACTTTATCCTTTTAGATCATGTTTTGAGTTAGATGTAAGCTTTGAAGCTCATGAGGTTGAAGAAAACAACTTAATCAATTAAGATGTTTGGAACCTAGTTCCCACGATGTGACATCAGGTCACCATGTCGCGACGACTAGGGTCAAATCGTTTGTTTTATCCTTTAGGGACCACATTGTGGCTAGTCAACGTTGACCATTGAATTGACTTTTGGCTTGTGTTGACTTTTGGTCAAACCCCTAGTCTTGGAGGAAAAGCTAGAGATTTACTTTATATGGATGTATAGGTGGTTGGTAGCATATGTGTTCGCAACCGTAGTAGCAGTTGCAGTTGACCATTGTTTGATATGTGAGTTTCTTCACTGTACTCATGGGGCGAAGGCACCAATGTCGGCCCACTGGATTATGTTTGTAAGATGATATTTGTCTTTGTGACACTTACTGTTATGCATGTATGTTTGTTGTCTTTGTGACTCTTGCTCATATGATTATATGCTTAGCTGTAAGGGTGAAATAGACCCGATACCGGTTAAAAGAGACAGAAAGGGGTGAAATAGACCCAATACTAGTTGAAAGATATCAAAGGGGGTGAAATAGACCCAATTATGTTTTGACTGTTATGTATGCGTGGTATGGGGTATTTTGGGGAAACTCACTAAGCTTTGTGTTTACAACTTTATGTTTATGGTCTCTGGTACTTCCAGTTCGAAAGGAAGGGTCTAGCATGACCGCACCACATCCACCAACATTCCACATTTTATGACATGGTTTGTTGTAATTATAATGAGACTATATATTTACCAAAACATGCATTAAAACTCAATAGATCAAGTTACAAGGAGTTCACTGTGAATTGACTGCTTACAGATTTAAACCTAAATTTCGGGATGTCACAATCTTCTTTTCCGGGTCGTTGGGTATGGGCTTTATCCGGTTCAGGGTGTTTTTCGATTGCCTATGTTCGTTCATATATTGATGAGTCTGTGCTTATTTCTAGTTCCGTCGAGAATCGGTGGGGTCGTATTGTTTATATTAAAGTGAATATTTTTTCTTAGAGATTGACTTTGGATCGGCTTCCCACTTGGTTCAATCTCTCAAAAAGGAGGTTTGATATTCCTTCTTTGTCTTGCCAGATTTTTGACTCCGTTGCGGAGACGGTTAGTCATGTTTTCTTTACTTGCTCGGTTGCTCAAGATGTTTTATATTAGGTGCTAGTTGGTGGGAGTTACCTTCCATTACTCTCTCTTCTTATGAAGACCGACTAACTTGGTTTAAGAATCTTCATCTTCCTAAAGGTGTGAATGATTACTTGGAGGGTTTTTTTCTTTGTGATGTGGTGGCGTATTTGGTTGTTTAGGAATAATTTTTGTCTTTGGCAAGGCTCAACCGATGAAGGCTCTTTTGTTTGACGACATTGACACGAAGGCATTTTATAATGTAACAATAGGCATAAGAGGATTGATACTAATTGGGTAGGTTGGCTCTAAAAGCCTATTTTGGCCATTTTGTGATGTTCTCTTTTTTGGTTTTCTTTTGTTAGATTTTTTTGATAGTTTCTTACTAGCTCTTTCTTTATATATATATATATATATATATATATATATATATATATATATATATATATATATTTATTTATTTATTTATTTCTTTGACGTTAAAAAACTATCTAAGTGAATTTATAACCGATAGTGTTTTGATTTATAATATGATTAGTGGCAATATGATGCGAAAGGCCAATATCATACTAGCTTGAACATGGGCCTTCCTTAGTCTAACATACAGAGCCCAAAGGCCGAAACTAAGACGCTATTTTTCACTTTCTCAGCTTCTTACTATAAAATGATGTCCTGACCTAAACCCTAATCGTCTCCTTTCACAGAACGCCGATCCAGATATACGCCGAGGTACGCGTCTTTTCCAATATGGACTTTGCATCTTACACTGATTCTGTATTTTATCTTATGTTATCTTGAATTCTAGACGCCATCAATCTACTGTTAAACTTTGCACATTATGATTTTACAATCGGCCGTGCATCTGATGCACTTGATGATTTGATTTTGATAATCAACTGGTGATTCGAAGTGTTCTAATCTTTGATGAATAAAAAATGCGTACCCTATTTGATTATGCCTGTTTCTGCGTAGAACTAACTTAAGAATATGATTTATCTGAGACTTCTGGCATCTATTTATATAGAAATAGCTCGAGCAAAAATCAATTAACGCGGATTTTGTAACAGGATATGGCACCAAAACAGCCTAACACAGGCCTCTTTGTTGGATTGAACAAAGGGCATGTTGTCACCAAGAAGGAGTTAGCTCCTCCCCCATCTGATAGAAAAGGCGTAGGTTTCTTCTTCTTTTTAACCAAATTCATTTATAAAATCTTCTCAATTAGGGTTTACAGACTCTATTACATTATGGAACACATCTGATTTGAATAATTGCTATATTTGTATAGAAAACAAGCAAAAGGTCTCACTTGGTGAGGAATTTAATCCGTGAGGTAGCTGGATTTGCGCCATATGAGAAGAGGATTACTGAGTTGTTGAAAGTTGGAAAAGACAAATGTGCCCTTAAGGTAGCCAAGAGAAAGTTGGGTACCCACAAGAGAGCAAAGAAGAAGAGAGAGGAGATGTCAAGTGTTCTTCGCAAGATGAGGTATTTGTTTTCTTTTTAATGATACACATTATTTTATTTCATTTTAATATCTACTGAATTTTATTTTAATGGGTTGATGTCATTAACATGTTGTTAATTTTGTGTAATTATTTGCAGGTCTGGTGGAGGTGCAGAGAAGAAGAAGTGAGGACTTTTTCAGGATTTAGTTTTCTTTGCATAATTTTTTTAAGCTTTTAGTAGTTAAGTAAAACTTTTGTCTTCCCTATTATATGATTTGGATTTTGTGTACTTTTTCTCTTGAAAATTTATGATATGATTTTGCTCCATTTTATGTAGTTCAAATCACAAGTCTTCTAATTAAACTTCTGTTTTTGCTTAGACTTCTATATCTTGGATTTAATCAAAGTTTTTTGTAATGTTATAAATTAAAAACCAATTCAAGTTAATATTAATCTACAGTCCATATTTTAAAAGTTGGGAAAATGACTAAGGAGGTAACCACCGTTGATGTTGGTAACAATTGTTGCTTTTGTTAACTCGTTAGTGTTTACCATAAACCTTTTTGACTAAAACTAATATACCTTTCCGAATCTTTTTCCCTCAAAAGCATTCAGCAGATTTTTTTAAACTTTTAGTTCTTTCAAACTAGACAATATACAACACATAAAATTTGAATTTTGGAAGTTAAGCTATCTAACTATAATGTAAGTTGTCTCTAAAGAAAATAATCAAAAAATTTGTTTTGGAAAAAATAACTGATGAACATTTTGTACTATAAAAAAATAGTTTTTGTTGATAAAAAAAATATATTTTAGACTGATATTTGTTGATTCTTTAACTAAAATTCTGACTTTTGAAAAAAAATACTGTAATTTCAAACATAGTCTGAAATCTGATAAATATTTTTGGAAGTTTGAGAAAAATATTTTATTTCTTATTTAAATATAACAAAAAGTAACATAGTAAATATAAACTTTATATGATACTAAGGCATGAAATCAAAAATCTGATTAAAAAACGGTTAAATTTTAGACAAAGGTTGTAGATTTTTTTGGAAAAAACAAAAAAGAACTCCGGATTTTAATATCAAATCACGAATGAAACATTATGGAATAATGGTCATTTTTTAAAAACAGAAAAAAATAGTTTTCTTTTAAAAAACTCATTTATAATGATTCGTTTACTCAAATTTCCTTTTTATTTTGAAAAATAATTAATAAAAATGATTAAATTTGTTATTTTTTTTTTTTGATTTTTTCTTACAATTTAGTAACATTCACCGCCATACTGTATATATACATAAACAAACTTTTTAAGTGTACCATGATTTAGGAATAGAACCCCGTCATATCTCATTCCGATAGAAAATTGGTTATGGGCCTTATATAATTATATGGACAAACATTTAAAATATTTATTATTTTTTGATTTGTCAAGGATAGCATAAAAAGAGTAGTGGAGCATCCAATATTTTTGCATTTTAGTCTACGGCGATTATTTGAGCAGAGGGTGTCTTTTTGAAGAACATAGAACCATTTATCTATCTTGGTCTTCACTGATTTTCTTCATTTGTTTATCATTTTTCATTCAGTAGTATAATCATTCAGTCTTACATTCCAGTTGTTGAATTGGGTTTCTATCACAATCCATATCCAACCATATATGAACTCTATTTAAAATAACTTTTATATTTCCATATTATTGTGGGTTATCATTAAAACGATAAAATGAGAGGCCGTGTGTTTGTATGATGTAATGGAATGTTCCACACCATTTTTATTTATTTATTTATTTATTTATTTATTTATTTATTTATAAGTTACTCCCTCTCTAACTTATAAATCATAAATCTCCTGGTATGCCAAATATTTTGTAATAAAACTTCCAATTTTGTAAATGGCAAAGGATACAGCAAGGGTTGTGGCAGACTACAGCAATGGAAGTTTGCTCTTGGATTCTGATTTCACATCTTCTTCAGCATCTATCAATATTCAAGGTTTATTTAAGATTACATCTTATAATAAACTATACAATGTTTTCACATGTAATATAAATAACATGATTGAATGTGGGAAAGCGTATCATAACGAACCAGTGGTTGATATTGAACCCGGTGGAGGAGTTTTAACAGCTAATGCAAACAAGGTAATAAAATACACTACACAAATAACATTATCTGCAGCTAGTCCAACACCAAGGGGAAATCTCTAGAGCTTCAGCAATGACAACATAAGTGACAGCTACAAAGTCATAAGCAAAAAAAAAAAAAAAAACTCATTAGTTCTATGTATATATAGAAAGATTCTTTAACAAACTAATTACAATGTTAATGCATGTTATAGTTCATCCAATAAGACACTGTTCCAATTGTTGTTGCCACTAAATAATGGGCAAAGCAAAAATTAGAATGGTAATAGAAAGTAAATGAAAAAACAATATAAACAACTTTACGAAAATTAATGATTAAAGAGTAACCTTACAATAAAGCTTTCGTTTACCCGTTCATTCATAGCTTCTTATTTGACAACTATATGTTTTTGTTTCTTTTACAATGTGTTGTAACAAATCTTTGTCTTTTTTTAGAACCAAACAATTTTTTCTTGTATTAGTTAATTAATGTTAGTCGTTTGTATAAAATTAAAATACTTTCTTTTCCATTAAGTCTTTATTATTTAGTTGACAAAACAAAAAACATAAATTAATTGATGTTTGCAAAGTGATCAAATTTTTATTTTTCCACTCTCATTCAAAAAAACTTTGTTGTTATTTGTTTTTAAGATACAATAATTAATCATTTATATTAAATTAGACACAAAAAACTTATATATTATACCATGTAGTGTTATTTTGTAATTTAAAAGTAAACTGTAATATTTTTTTTGCAACTTTTGATACCACAAGACGTAATCTATTATTATTATTATTATTATTATTATTATTGCATATTAATTTTTGGATGCGGCTCGTGAACAGTAAGAAGTTTTGGCGCCGAACAAAATTGCTTTTATGGAGGCCAGTTGGTTTTTATAGGAGTGACTGGTATTCATCGTTTCTAGTCGGGGCTTATTGCTTAGGGTGATGGGTATGGGCAACGAGGTGGTAAGGCCACCTAAGCACCAAAAGTTTTCTTAATCTCCACTTTTTTTGTTGGGGGTGGTGTTCAATTTCCTCAACGCCGTTGAGGTGAAGAAATGCAGAAAAAGAGAAAGTCTAATTGCTGGAACGGTTCTTTTTTTCCCGTTTCAGTGTTTCCCTCGTTAAGACGGCGTTGAGCCGTGCCACCTCACCCTCGTTTCTTCTCGTTGAGGCCCATACCGGGTGCTCTTAGCCTATTCGCTATCTTGCTCTCCTCAACCCACATGTCTTGCTCTCCTTAACCCACGTGCCTCGCATGTATATGGAAGACGCCAATTTCTCTCTTTTCAACACACAATTCGTCGAATTCCTGTTTCATTCTTTTTTGCTTCTCTGCTTCGCCATCTCCTTAATGAACGGATGGTTAAAATGAGTGTTTGGATAAACTGTTTTTTAAAAACAATTTATATCGGAACCGAAGATAAGTCATTTTTTATAAGTTACTAATTTGGCAAAATAAACTTATTACTTATTAGTTTATAGCTTATTAGCTTATTGGCTTATAAGCTAATACTTATTAACGGTTTGTCACCGTTATAAACTATTTTTATACAAACACTTTTTTAGCTAATAAGCTAATAAACTATTTTGTCAAACACCACCTAACCCATAACTAATCTCCTTGTAACTTTTCCAACATCTCTAAGAAACCTATTTTTTGGTTATTTTGTGAAACACTAAAAAGGACTTATCAACTTATAGCGTTTTGATACCGGATAAACTAATACAAACACTTTTTTAAAAACTTTGTTTGACACCGTTATAAGTTATAAGTTAAAAAATGTTTATCATTTTAAGCAATGTTCTAAAAAGCTCACCATGACTCCGCTATATTGCGTCATGGCTTCAAGGCTTAAACACCTTTTTAGCTTATAGCAAAGAGAAACCGTTCGCTAGTTTCAAACCATCACCCATATTGCCAAATAACGAAATAATTTACTGAATGGTATTTACGAAATTACTTTAATAATGCCTTGGCAAAATCCTTTTTTATATCCCAAAAAGTAGAACCCAAAACATATCATCTCACAAAGAATTATGGGGGCAAACATGTAATTATCCACCTTCAATAGTTTCACAAAAAAAAAAAAAAAAAAAAAAAACGTTCATTTTGATTCCTTTTTATTTTGGTCAGCTTAGTGATTATCCCCGTAAAAATATTTTCAAGTTGTACTATAGCAAATTTTTAAAAGAACAAACAAAAAAAAATGAAATTCCATACAATTTATTGACTCCCTGTTCTATTCAGTTTTGTATGATCAATAGCTGTTACTGCTCATGAGTACACTTTGCAACCATTTGCAAAACCATTATTATCCAGAGTATAGGATAGGGGGCAAAAGGGTAAATTCAGCTTCATAAACTTACAACAAAAAAACAACCACCATTACTCATGTCTTGAACTTTTGTGTCAACTTTTCTTTAACAACCGATCTCCACCCAACCGAGCTTCGTTGCAAATCTTGAATGGATCCACATCCACCAACTTTCAACACAACACCATCTTTCACCTCACCCACTTGCTTCACACCCTTCGATGCCAATTCTTTCAATTGGGATATAAAAAAGAGTATCCTTTCAATAACTTTATCATTCGTCTCTTTGGATTTACCCTTTAAATCTTGTGTCATTTTCTTAAGTTTTTCCACCTTGTTTTCAGCTAAGCTTTTGGTTTCTTGTATTGAAAACTGTTTCTGAGCATTGACCTATGTGGATTCGGTATTTGACTCATCACGAAGGTCATTATCCACAATGACTTTAATGCCTTGATTTTCCGCTCTAGCATCTTCCACAACTTTTACTTGCTCTCTTGCCCTTTTTGCCTCATCTTCCGCCCAAGTTCTTCACAAAAAAAGATATATACAAATAAATAAATAAATCATGTCATATCAAATTATCAATAATACAAAAAAAGTTATTTTTCTAAAGATGCACATTAAAAATTTACCTGGCCATGGCTAGGGCTTTCCGTTCAACTTCCAATTCATATTGCAAATGTGAAATCTCCTGAGTCTCAAATTCCGCATTTGCCCTCAGCTTATTTACCCTTTCTTTCTCAAACGAAATCTCCACTTTATTACTCATAATTAGGGGTGGCACGTCGTGCTATCGTTTCGTGTTTCTGTCTG